TTTTTTAATTTTATAATTTAAAAAACAACTATAAAATTGTTTTTTAAAGGTTGCGATGAAATGTTAGATTAAAATAACAATACTGCCAAAACCGGTTTGGCTCAGTGGATAGAGCCTCGGCCTGCGGACAGAAGGGTCCCGGGTTTGATTCCGGTCAAGGGCATGTACCATGGCTGAGGGCACATCCCCGGTAGGGGGCATGCAAGAGGCAGCTGATCGATGACTCTCATCTTTGTTTCTAACTCTATCTCTCTCCCTCTCTGTAAAAAAATCAATAAAATATATTAAAAAATAAAATAAAATAAAATAACAGAATACAAAATTTTACAGTATGATTGCAGTAATATATGTATCACTTTAACCAGGATGCTTTCTTTTATTTTTTTTTATTTTTTTTTAATATATATTTTATTGATTTTGTACAGAGAAGAAGGGAGAGAGATAGAGAGTTAGAAACATCGATGAGAGAGAGTCATCGATCAGCTGCCTCTTGCACACCCCCTACTGGGGATATGCCCGCAACCAAGATACATGCCCTTGACTGGAATCGAACCTGGGACCCTTCAGTCCCCAAGCCGACGCTCTATCCATTGAGCCAAACCGGTCCCGGCCAGGATGCTTTCTTTTAAATATATTTTTATTGATCTCAGAGAGGAAGAGAGATAGAAACATCAATGATGAGAGAGAATCATTGATCAGCTGCCTCCTGCATGCCGCCTACTGGGGATTGAGCCCACAACCTCAGCATCCTTGACTGGAATCAAACCTGGGACCCGTCAGCCCACAGGCCAACACTATCCACTGAGCCAAACCGGCTAGGGCAAACCAGGATGTTTTTTGTTTGTTTGTTTGTTTGTTTGTTTAATACTGTACAGCCCCCTTCAGTGCTCACAGGTTTGAACAATGGTTTGAGGATGCAGCTTCCTCTGGCACGGGTCCACTATGAGAGGCACACAGCAATCAGGATGTTTTAAAAGCTATTGTTTATTGATCAAATACTACATGCTGGGTGCTGTGCTAAGGGTTTTAGTGAGAGCAAGTCATAAGTGGAATTTTACTTTGACTAATGCGTGTCTGACTCCGAAGCCTGTGCTCTTAATGCCAGGGAAACAAATATGCAAAAATAAAATAATTTTTTAGCCGGGACCGGTTTGGCTCAGTGGATAGAGCGTCGGCTTGGGGACTGAAGGGTCCCGGGTTCGATTCCGGTCAAGGGCATGTACCTTTGTTGCGGGCAGATCCCCAATAGAGGGTGTGCAAGTGACAGCTGATCGGTGACTCTCTCTCATCGATGTTTCTAACTCTCTATCTCTCTCCCTTCCTCTCTGTACAAAATTAATAAAATATATTTTAAAAAAAATAATTTTTTAATAACCCCAAGAGAATCCTGGGCAAGGTGATCAACACCCTGAGCTTTGTTTTCTGGGAAAGCCTATAAAGTGGAGGTGGCCATCGGGATTCTCTTGGGGTTATTTCCTTCATTCAACAAATAGTTTAACCAAAAGCGGTTTGGCTCAGTGGGTAGAGCCTCGGCCTGAGGACTGAAAGGTCCCAGGTTCGATTCCGGTCAAGGGCATGTACCTTGGTTGCGGGCACATCCCCAGAGGGGAGTGTGCAGGAGGCAGCTGATCGGTGCTTCTCTCTCATTGATGTTTCCAACTCTCTGTCCCTCTCCCGTCCTCTCTGTAAAAAATCAATAAAAAATGTTTTTTAAAATAGTTTAAACACTTAAGAGATAAAACGGAGAAGAAGACGAACAAAGCCCTGCCTTGGCGGAGTGCACACTGAGGTGAGGGGACAGGCACCAAGCAAGTAAATACTCATGTGAACGGCCTCCTTGTGGGAGGCAGATGGCACTGCCCAGAGGAGTGGCTGACAGGGCCTTGGGGCAGAGACCAGTGCTGAGGAGCCAGCTGGGAGCTCAGGGAGAAAAGCTGAGCCAGCAGAAGCCCCGTGCAAAGTCCTGGCGGTGGGAACACTCCTGTGGTCGTAGGGAGGCAGGGGTGGCAGGGAAATTCCAAACCCCTGTCCACGGAGAAGAGCTGAGCTGCCATGACAGCGTTTGGAGAACAGAGGGTGTGGGGGAGGATGAGGAATCCGTAGCGGAGACTTAGAGGGTCAGAGGCCAGGAGGGACCTGTGGTTCTGAGTCAAGCGGAAGGAAGCATAGCAAGGAGGAGGGAGTATTCAAGGGCAGGGAAGACCGGGAAAGGATTTGGCCGTGAGGGCTTGCCTGCGAAAGGGCCCTTTCCACTCAGCTCTCGTTGAGGACAGGAGTCAAGTAGGGAGTGGGGGTCAGGCAAGGAGAGGCCTCCAGCAGGGACTGCCTCTCCCAACAAGGACATCGGTGTTTAGGAATCTACTGAATTGATTTTGCTTCCATCTATCTGGACTTTTTCTTGGGGGTGTATTTTCTTTAACTAATTATTTCCATTGTAAAAATAACTCAGAAAAATAAATATGAAAATCCAGAAAAGTAAAAAGAGGAAAAGTCATTTAGAGCCCCACCACTCGGAGACAGGCACTGCTAATCTCACAGGGGAATTTCCTTTTTCTGTGCTTTTATTGACAACTAAAGGCCCAGTGCACGAAATTTGTGCGGCGTTGGGGGTGGGGGGGTGTCCCTCAGCCTAGCCTGCACCGTCTCCAATCTGGGACTCCTCAAAGGATGTCCGACTGCCCATTTAGGCCCGATCCCGCTATCTGAGGCCAGGGTGTGTGGAAAGCTTTGCTTCCTCCGTCGCTGGGGGCAACCCTAGTCTGCTCTCTCCAGCTCAGTGGCTGCCACCATTTTTCTTGGATTTATCTTCTATAACTGAAACTTTGTAGCCTTGAGTGGAGGCCTAGGCCAGCCAGGGTGTGTGGAAAGCTTGGCTTCTTCTATTGCCGGGGAAACCCAAGCCTCTTAACTGCTCTCTGTAGATGCAGCCATCTTGGTTGGGATTAATTTGCATAGCATCTCTGATTGGCCGGTGGGCATGGCTGGTGGGCGTGGCCTGAGCCGAGTGATGGTTAATTTGCATATTACTCTTTTATTAGGTAGGTTATTAGGAGTCATACTATACCTCCAATTTTATGTCCTATTTAAAAGCCCACATTCTCATCACCCAAAGACAGCATTGCTAATGTGTTTTTACTTGTTGTTTTAGTATTTCTAGGGTTTTTTCCTACACAATTATTTAAAAATATTTTTATTTTATCAAAGTAATACAGGAGAATGGTTAAAAATCAAATAGTATAAAAGGGCTACTAGTGAAAATCAATAATCCCTGCCCTCTGCATTCCTATTTCTAATCTTCCTCCTCTTTTTTTTAGCTGATGTTTCTTTTTTATAGTTACCTTCAAATCACCAGCATGTGCACACCATTATTTCCTGGAGAATCAATTTTGGACATTATCTGTGGCTACCTTTGTGATACATAGGGATTTAGCTCACTTAGCACCAATTTTCTTCCATTCTCTCCATATAATTATGGCAATATTTTTTATTGGTTATCTTTATAGCTTTATATACATACCTATAATTTATTTCTTATTCTGATAACTTGGACAGTGCTTCTTGACTTATCATTTTGTAAGATAATGATATTAGTGCCTCACTCTTTTCTTCTACATTTTTGTGCCTTTCTCGCCCCAATTAAACCCTTTAAACGTGGTTATAATTTACTGTGCTAATTTTTCATTCTGCTCTGCCACATAGATATAATTAATTCAATAAAAGGCAATGATCTTAAGTATGTAGCTTGATGAATTTGTACCTAGGTGTACACCTGTGAAACCACCACCCAGATCAACCTATAAAACATTCCCAGCATCCAGTACGGTCTCTCAAACTCTCTCCCACTTAATGTTTCTAGAAAGACCACAGTTCTAACCTATATTACCTTTATAGATTGATTTCCCCTGTTCTTTAATTCATATAAACAAAAAATCAAACAGTATCTGCTCTTGAGTCTGGCTTCCTTCATCCATCATTATGTTTTTAAGAGTAATCTGTTTTGTTGCATGCATCAATAGTTCATCCTTTTTTTTTTTAATTGTGATATTCCATTGTGGGAATATATCACAACTTATTTGTCTGTATTCTTATTGAAGAACATATGGACTGTGTCCAGTTTGGGCCATTCTGAGTAAGGCTGCTCTAAACATTTTTTCGGTGACTATAAGCAATCCTATTGAATAAGTACCCAGGAGTGAAATTTCTGTGTTTTAGGTAGGCGTCTGTTTAATAGATTCTACCCAATTGTTTTCCAAAGTGCTTGTGCCTCTCCCAACTGCAACGTGTGAGAGTTCCCATTGTTGCTCATTGTCACTGACCCTGGAATGGTCAGGGCTGTTGATTTTAGCTCTCTTTGTGGATATGTAATGGCACCTCAGATTTGTATTTTCCAATGACTGTTGAAACTTAGCACATCTTTATGTTTCACGAACATTTTGGGTATTTTCTTTTGTAAAGTTTAGGTCTTTTCATTTTAATTTTTAAAAAATTGTGTTCTTTTTCTTACCAATGGGAATTCTTTATATATTTTGGATAAGAGTCTCTTGGTGGCTATCTATATTACAAATATCTTTTTTCAGTCCAAGCTTGTCTTTCCATTCTCTTAATAGTTTCTCTTGACCAGTGGAAATTCTTAATTCTAAGGAAGTCCAATTTTTCAATTTTATTATTATTAGTGATTTTGGGTTCTATTTTAAAAGATCTTTGCCTATCTCAAATCATGAAGATATACTTCTCTGTTTTCTTCTAAAATCTTTGTTTTAACTTTCATATTTAGGAGTTTTTGAATGATATGAGGAAGGAGTAAATGTTCTTTATTACTATTTCTTAGCCACATGTTAAGTTTTCTAGGTCTAAAGAGAAGCCATTCTTCTGCATGGACGGAGCCTAGGCCAGATAATTCTCCATGTGGTAAAGCAGGTTAGATCCAAGGGAGGAAGCCACATTTCTGCCCCTCTGCCCTGGCCATCAACTCACTGGCATCTGCCCTCTTCCCACATCAGCCTCTGGCCCGTTGGAAATTGCACTCACGGTCACCATGACCTTGCTTGCCTTGGGCTCCATCGCCATCTACCTGGAGGACGCCGTCTACCTGTACAAGAACACCCGCTGCCCCATCAAGAGGAGGACTCTGCTCTGGAGCAGCTCTGCACCCACGGTGAGGGCCTGCAGCTGCCCTTTGGGGGGGCTGAGGAGGAGGCAGGGACCACTTTGAGAATTCCTCTAAACTCAACAATTCAAGTCAACCAAGAGCTGCCTGCCTCTGCCACCTTAGGTGGGGGTTTCTAACCGATCTCCATTTGCATTCAGAACACACAACCACCCCCCCCCCCATCCACCACCCCCCATCCCCGTGCATAGATGGTCCCAGGCAGTGGGATGGAGTGTTGGAATTCTGGGAGCCACAGAGACAATAAGGAAACCCGCTCTGCCACCAGTGGCCCAACCACCGCTCCCCACGGCGTTGCTGTTAAAAGCAAGTCTCCTCTCTGTACAGGCGAGCAGTGGCTCCTCAGAGAGCAGGAGGGAAAGAACGTTTTCCCCAGGGGGTCATACTTAGCTCTAGCCTTACATTGTAGGCTTTTAACATTCCCCCAGCCATTATATTGGCCTTTGGCTTGCTCATAGATAATAAGATTGAACTTTGTTTCCTTCTGGTGAGCTCTGTGTGTCTCTCTGGGGTAGAGAGGGGGCCCTTGAGGTCCTTTCCTGGCAGATGACATCTGCCCAAACCATCTCAGGTCATCAGAGACACTCCCATCACATGGGGTGTTGACGAGTAAGGGCTGAATCTTGATCCATTTATCTCATCTCCTTCTACCCCAATGCTATAGGATGAGATCGTCTTTAAGAAACAAACAACCCTGGCTGACGGTGACATGCTGGATTAAATTTTCAAAAAATGTTCCGTCAGTGATTTTTCCAGCTGGCCACTGTAAAGTGACAGCCCCTCGAATGTGTAGGTTTTGCTTCCTTGAGCTCTTGTCACAAAAGGCTCAGGAGGGTGAGCACCAAGCCTCCCTCCCCTCAGCCAGCTTCCTGCTCCTCCCCCAGGTGGTGTCTGTGTTCTGCTGCTTCGGGCTCTGGATCCCTCGTTCCCTCATGCTCGTGGAAATGGCCATCACCTCGTGAGTGTCCCGCCCGCCCCAGCTCTGGGCATGGTGTCCTTCCAGGGGTTCCCTTCTGCTCCCCGCTCACCCGGGAATCCAGAGTCCATGCCTCCTTGTATCCCCTCTCCCTTCCACAAATCCCTGCAGACCGGTCTTGATCACAAATCGAATCAAGCCCTTCCCAGCTTGTGCTAACCCGGGGCTCTTGAATTTCTGGAGAGGTTCATCCTAGGCCATCATCTTGTCCCCTCAGCCTGAAATTCCCCCTTCCCAGGACCCTGGACCCGTCCTCTCTCACTCCTCTGGGAGTCTCACATTCAGAGTGCCTCATCCCTACCATGATCCCCTCAGTAAGCCGCACCCTCCCTGCTCCTCTGTAGTCCCTCTTCCTTTGGCGGCAGAGGCTGTCCCCTCAGCTGGCTGCCACCTCCCCCCTGTGTGCCCTGAGGCCCGCGTCTCCCCCACTCCAGGTTTTACGCGGTGTGCTTTTACCTGCTGATGCTGGTCATGGTGCAAGGCTTTGGTGGGAAGGAAGCAGTCGTGAGGACCCTGAAGGACACCCCAATGAGGATCCACACAGGCCCCTGCTGCTGCTGCTGCCCCTGCTGTCCCAAGCTCATGCTCACCAGGTGCGACGGGAGGGAGGGGCGCCCTGCAAGCACCGGTTCCAACTCCCCGCACCCTCTCTCTCTCTCCCAAGAGCGTCTGCTGGTTGGTTCTCAGTTCTGCTTCAAACCTCTTGGAACTAGTCTTTTATTTATTTTTTTAATATATTTTATTGATTTTTTAAATATATTTTATTGATTTTTTTCAGAGAGGAAGGGAGAGGGATAGAGTTAGAAACATCGATGAGAGAGAAACATCTATCAGCTGCTTCTTGCACACCCCCTACTGGGCATGTGCCCGAAACCATGGTACATGCCCCCGACCGGAATGGAACCTGGGACCTCTCAGTCCGCAGGCCGATGCTCTATCCACTGAGTCAAACCGGTTTCAGCGGAACTAGTCTTGTATGGAACAAAGTCAGTGATAAAAGGGTGGGTATCCCACCCAGAACCCACACATTAGACGTCCTCTCAGAGGTAAGGGGAGCCGAGAAAGAACTCCGACGTTCCCATCACGTAAGCCACTGCCCCTGCCAAGTTAGCCACAGACAAAACTGAACTCTAGGCTGTTTCCTAGTCCCCCCTGCTCACCTGGTTAACAAGGTTGGATTCACACAGATCATTCTTTCCCAAAAGGCAGCATTCTGGTCTAGGAGTGAGTGGGGAGCAAGAAGCAGGGTTGCCAGTGCTCTCCGCATCCTAGCTTTTTCCTGTGTCCCCATCCATTGAACCCTTTTGGTGTCTGATGGCAGCCAAGCCTCCACCCAGCAGCCCAGGGAGGGAGAGGAGAGCCGTCTTGGGTGGGCAGTCTGTGGGTCCCTGTTCCTAATCCTCTGCTCCCTTCAGGAAGAAGCTTCAGGTGCTGATGTTGGGCCCCTTCCAGTACGCCTTCTTCAGGATAACCCTGGGCCTGGTGGGCCTGTTCCTCGTCCCTGATGGCATCTTCGAGCCAGCAGACGTAAGCCGGGAGTGAGGGGCAGTGAGCTCCGAGCCCCATTGGGTACCTTTGAGCTCTACGGGGAATGGCTGGAGCCAATATCCCCTGATACCTAGGGACAGAGTGACTGTTGACAGAGGCTCGGTCTCTATGGTGGGAGAGAGGAGATTGGAATAAGCCAGGGCTACAGGCACGGTTATCCCCTTGGGGGAGGAAATAAAAGGGAGGAAAAGGGCTTGTCTCCCTCGCTGACTCCAGCCTGGTCTGCCACCAGATTTCTGAGACAAGCACAGCTCTGTGGATCAACACTGTCCTCGGTGTGTCCACTCTGCTGGCTCTCTGGTGCCTGGCCATCGTTTTCCGTCAAGCCAAGCAGCACCTGGGCGAGCAGAACATCGGGGCCAAGTTTGCTCTGTTCCAGGTAACTATGCCCTGAGGGAGAAAAGGTGGCTCATGGTGGAACTCCGAACGACCGGGGTGAGGAAGTGAGTCTAATAAAGGCTAAAAGGGGTCCGGGAATCTCCTTAAGCCTTAGGTTCCTGTGAGATTTGGAAAGTGGTCCCCGCCCCTCCCCAGATTTTGCTTTTTGTGCTATGGTTGCTTTTTGTTTGCTAGGGCTGCTGTAATAAAATACCGCCAAGTGGCTCAAAACAACGGAAATTTATTCTCTCACAATTCCGGAGGCCAGCAGTACAAAATCAAAATGTCGGCTGGGCTGTCTTCCCTCTGAAACCTGGGGGGGAGAACCCTCCCTTCCTCTGCCCGGCTTCTGGAGGTTTGCAGCAATCTCGCCTCCCTCAGCTTGCAGCTGCATCATTCTACTTCTGCCTCTGTCATCACGTGGCTTCTTCCCTCACGTGTCTGTGTCTTGGGTCTCTTTGCCTTTTCTTATAGGGACTGAGAGGCAGAAGCCCTTAGGGCCAGGCACCAGTCATACTAGAATAATGCCCTAGCAGGGTTAGCTCAGTGAATAGGGCATTGGCCTGTGGACTAAAAGGTCCCGGGTTTGATTCCCGTCAAGGGCATGTGCCCAGATTGTGAGCTTTATCCCCAGTAGGGGGCATGCAGGAGGCAGCCAATCAATGATTCTCTCTCATCGTTGATGTTTCTATCTCTCTCTACCTCTTCCTTCCTCTCTGAAATCAACGAAAACATATTTTTAAAAAGGAGAAGGGCCCATTTTACTCTGGCATGACTTTATCTTAGTTAATGACATATAATTATTAACCAAAACAATGATGCTGTTTTGAAATCGGTCCTATTCTGAGGTACTGGGGATTAGGACTTCAACATATCTGTTTGCGGGGCACAGTTCAACCCATAACCATAACTTCTTCTGCCTTTGCTTTTTATCTTCTCTAGATTACTCCTAAAACCCTATAATCCATCACCACCAGCAGTATGAGCACTATCTCAGCTACAGCTATGAACTATTCACACCATGTGCTAGGCACTTTTTCATACAGTACTTAAAAAAAACAAAAACAAAACAACTCTCACCCAAAGATATGTTGAGAGACAGAGGAAGGGTTGGGGAGGGAGAGAACCATCAATGTGAGAGAGAAATATCAATTAGTTGCCTCCCATATGCACGACTGGGGATCAAACCCATAACCTAGGTATGTGCCCTGACCAAGAATCAAACCCACAACCTTTTGGAATATGGACAACCTACTGAGCTACCTGGCCATGGCTTTGTACATTACATTTAAATATTCACAACAATCTTAGGAGTCAGTATTCTTTTTATTTTACAAATAAATACCGACGCTCTATCCACTGAGCCAAACTGGTTTCGGCTAAAGAGCACTTTAATAGTTAACCATCCATCGTTCTATCAGCAGGGATCTCAGGTACTTGAAATAGATGGACCAACTCTTCCCTAATCAGCCGCCCTGTTTATTCTTTAAAAAAAAAAAAAAAAAAAAAAAATATATATATATATATATATATATATATATATATATATATATATATATTGGTATTTTACAGAGAGGAAGAGAGATAGAGAGTTAGAAACATCGATGAGAGAGAAACATCAATCAGCTGCCTCTTGCACACCCCCTACTGGGGATGTGCCTGCAACCAAGGTACATGCCCTTGACCGGAATCAAACCCTGGACCTTTCAGTCTGCAGGCCGATGCTCTATCCACTGAGCCAAACTGGTTTCGGCTGTTTATTCTTTAAGTGCTCAATAGCAGCCATGGCTGAAATAAGGAAATGAACTTTCTTCCTCCCACCCCAACCAATCAGTTCATGTTGTTCCTTGTCAGGAACTCTAATAAAATACTGGATAAGGAGATGAGGTTGTCATTTTTCTAAAGATTACAAACTTCACCACATTTTAATCAACCCTCCAGGACTGCACGGATCTAAAGGTTGGCCGGATGCACAGCGGCAGGACAGTGGCCAGCTGACCCCAGCGCCATGGACACTGAGCCACTCTGTCCGCTTCTCTCTTCCCTTCTGCAGGTGCTCCTCATCCTGACCGCCCTGCAGCCATCCATCTTCTCGGTGTTGGCCAACGGCGGGCAGATTGCTTGTTCGCCTCCCTTTTCCTCTAAAATCAGGTCTCAAGGTGAGCACACAGAAGCTTCTGTCCCATTCTAGGGTGGGTGAGAGGAGGAGGGTCAGGGAAGAGAGGACCTTAGATCAGAGGTTGGGCCAGGCAAGCAGCTGCTCCGGATACTCAGAAAAGGATCTCCGAAGATCTCAGCAGAGCTTTAAGAAGACGGTGCCTTCTCTGATCGCACAGAGGAGAGCTACAGTTCCACAGCTTGCGGCCAACCTTGACGGCCAACCAAGAAAGCCATGGGTTCATCCCTAGCTCTTGGGAGAGGAATGGGTGTGGTTGGGAAGATCATGCTGATTAAGCACACAAAGGAAATGAGTTTTAATGCTAGCCTCGGGTGGCAGAAGGTGGAGTGAGAGCCAAGTTCTGGTTCTGGCTCTACTATTAACCTGCTGTGAGGAGAAGTAACAGAAAGAGTTGTTCAACTGGCATGCCAGGGCTGCTGGTGGGATACCACCTCTGTAACTTAGTTTAACCGACTTTACATTTCACCCCGCACTGCAGTGATGAATTGCCACCTCCTCATACTGGAGACTTTTCTGATGACAGTGCTGACACGGATGTACTACAGAAGGAAAGACGACAAGGTTGGCTATGAACCTTTCCCTTCTCCAGCTTGAACCTCAAAGCCTGAGGCAGATGGCTTGGACAATGAAAGAGACACTGTACTCGTGAGAGGGGCACACGATCTCTTCACTGTCCCTCAACATTGACCACATGGGGAAGGACTCCATTGTCAGGATAAGCTGGCAAATTACACTGGACTATACAGATGAAGGTGAATCATGCAAAAGGATGAAATTGTTTTGGATCTTGCCTGGGGAAGGTAATTTAGTTTCATAATAGACAAACAGAATGGAGTCTGAAACTCTATAATCGGGCACATTACTCCCATAGGTGCCACGAGTAGCCCTTAAAAGTTGTATATTGGGAAAGCTTATGGTGTAAGAATGGAACTCAGTCAGGATTTAAGCCCACAGTTCCGAAGAAAGCAGGCCCCTGAAGAACAGATCGAAGGTGTTCTTTCCCTGACAGATGTGTCGTCAGAGCACTGATGACATTGGACCTGGGAGATCTGGGTCAGCTTTCCTTTGTGGGACAATAGCTTTGTAAATCTGTGCCAAGCTGCAAAAGGAACCCCCAGTCATATGGCCAGGGAGCTTGACTTTGAGGAGATAAGTTAGGATGCAAAAGCAAAGGAACTTTTAGGTAAAAGCCCAAATATGCCCGGCCAGCATGGCTCAGTGGTTGAGTGTCGACCTATGAACCAGGAGGTCACAATTCGATTCTCGGTCGGGGCACATGCCCGGGTTGTGGGCTCAATCCCCAGTGTGGGGCGGGCAGGAGGCAGCCAATCAATAGTTTTCTCTTATCAATGATGTTTCTATCTCCCTCTTCCTTCCTCTCTGAAATCAATAAAAAACATTTTTTAAAAGAGCTCCAAATACACAAAATGTACCATATACATGTATTAAATATCAGGTCAAACACACAGAAAATGAAACATTAGGTAAAACCACTTTGCTTTTATTTGGCTAAATGACAACAGCCAGAATAACTCTGAACAAATTAATGATACTCAGACAGGAAAACAATATCCTGTACACTACGGAGGGAAAGCGTGCCCGCAGACGTCGGCACAAGTGATAGGGTTAACTGCCATGCTGAGGCCAGCATTTCTTTCTAAGACTTTGTCTCCCCCGGTTCCCTCCCCCCCACCCCCCAGGTTCCTCAATACAAATAATCCAACCAACCAATTCTCTGTGATCAAAACAGTCATGTGCTTCCAAAAAAGGATGGAAATCCTATTCAAACCTAAAGAAACGCAACCTGAGTCATCCTCCATGTTAAACCTCCCACTTTTGTTTTCTACCCAATCTGAGTACTAATATATAAGTTTGGCAGACAGAAAATCTTCCTTCTTTTAAAGAAAATTAACATCTAAATAGCATAATCCAAAGAACATGTTCTACTTATTTGGAAAAATAGAAGCCAGGGACTATTCTCTATCCCATGACAATCTATTCTATGAGAGAAAACAAAAACAATCATCGTATGACTTTGAAAAATATAACCTTCAAAAATACTTATATTGGTAAGCTTAAAAAAAATACCATTAGTTAAAAACATTGTTAAGGGAGTTTTGTTTTTCCTATATGTATTGGTAAGAGTGTGTGCTGACAGAAAAGGTAGCAGCTATGGCTTTTAGGAAATTAAAGAAAAGCAGCAAAGTGTATTGATTTGGAAAGACTTAATTTATGAGATCTGGAACAGGATTACAAAGGCAATGAGCTCCAGAAAATCAAAAGCTACCCACAAGTCAAGAGAATATAGGCATAGAGCAACAGCAGCACTGTGAAGGGCTGTTGTAGAAGGAATCCCCAGAAGCTGCCTGAGAAGTTACCAGCAATCAGAAAAGGTCAAAAATTCTCTTGACCTCATTCATATTTCTCCTCCTCTTCTAGATTTTCAACTTCCTCACATCTCCAACTTTCTTACCCAAACCTCATCCAAGTAGTGGCCTTTGACTCTAGCTACCAGAAGCAACTGTAGCAGTATACGCATCTATCCCTGTTCCCCTGAAGTTTCAAGTGCTGCTGAGTCTAGTATATGCAAAGAGCAGTCGTTCTGCCCAGCCCGTCCCAAGGAAACTGCTGAAATGGCACCTCCGTAGCAATGACAGGACTTCCTTCTCCTTTCTCCGTGTGTCTTGCACACGGGCTCTGGGGCCATCCAACTTGGAAAGCTCTCCCATCTCTGCCACATTTGGCCTATTCAGGCTGACAGCTCCACAACCTCAAATATTAGTATTAGAAGATTTTCAAGTCACTGGTATGGCTGTGGTGTGCCAACCACATTTAATTAGGCACAAATTATCAAATAACGCACCATGCCAACAGCTTCTTCCATCCACCCATTCTTATCCAGCACCTAGGGTCACCTTTATCTTGAAGTATCTAACATGCCACACCTTAAAAGTTTTTGCTTTCAGGCAAAAGTGTTTGAAGATATATAGTGTTGGGAGACTGAGGCTGTAGTGTAGACTCGCCAAAAGGGGCAAGAGTGTTTTCTAAGAACTTGTGTACATGCTGGCCCTGACCATCTCACACAGCTTATCGGCCCGGAGGCCATATTACCAGGTCAGCATGCCGAAAGCAGCGCACTGACAGGGCAGAGGAGGAGGGCCCAAAGATTTGAGACCCTGATAACATACCTGAGAGGAGTGACTACAGGAAAGAACCCCACACTTTGGGCATCTCCCTTTCCAAATATACAGGAAAACATGTGTACCTTAAGGGAACAAGTGTGGGCTTCAGTGGTGACTTCATTGCCTTTCTATAGCAGTGAGAGTAAGACTGAAAGAGACAGAATTCCCAAAGAAGGAGGATTGAAGCAGAAAAGTTAAAACAGGTGATCATATGAAGCTGGGTAATGTAGGCCAAGATTAATTTCACCCTTAAAAAAAAAAGTATTCCAAGCCAAAGCTCATGTAAACCAGATTTGATAGTAAAAACAGCACTTCATGAGAAGAGTTAGAACTGCAGTTTTCATAAGCCATCGGGACAAGGGGTGCCCCCCCCCCCGGGACAAGGGGTGCCCCCCCCCCCCTGCCCCTGTCCCTGTACGCTGCCATGCTCTGCCTCGGGGTGATCCGAGTTTTCAGAGCCTCAGCGGTCCTGGTGATGTCTATGAGATGCTCACAGCCCTAGCAGAGGGGCAAGAAAAGATAAGACGTGGTTTTCTTAGCTGAAAACACTAAAACTCCACCCCCACAAGGGGTATTTATGAGTGACGGGGTGGGGCCTGTATGTAAGCCGTCTTCCCCTGAACACAGCTACAAGATTCCTGATGGATGATGATCTGTCACGTGGCTGTAGGCTGCCGGAGGTGTAAGATGAGCTCAAGTTCAACAGCAAGTGTGAAGCTTCAGCATTCTCCGAGCTGAAACTTAAGGGATGCGTCCCCCTGCCAACCAGCAGGCAGGCCCGTGTGGGAGAGATGGAGAACCTGCCAAATCCTTGTAATGTGAGCCCTCGCTTTGTGCCTTGCTGGAGGGGCCGTGGAAGAAAGTTAGTTCCTGCCAGCTGCCACTCCCCGAGGAAAGCACTGGCTCCAGTCAAGAACATTCCTAAGAGGGGCAGAGTTCAAGATAGGAAGGTAGGTATTTCCTTATGCTTTCATGTCCATGGTCTATGCAAATCTCTGTTTAATATGGCTGTGCGCAGCCTGGATTAACAAATCATGTTCAAATTACAGACATTTACAAAGTATCCTTTGTAAAAAGCTAGGTGGTAAGCATAGAAATAGGAGTAGCAGGGCCAGGGACTCACTCCGGGGGGAATGAAACTAAACTTTGTGTGGAACTGAGTACTGTCCCACCGCTGAGCTGTTTTTAGCATTCCTTCTTTTAGCGGTAGATTACGAGGAAGAGTCTGACAAAAGCTCCCAAGTACCGGGCTAGAGTCTTCTGAGATGAACAGCGGAAACGCCGAAAAAGCCGCAGCCGGCGCCATGTGCTCTGGCTCCAGCCCCATTAGTGTCTTCATGGACCCCAGTGGGTCCAACAAGAAACTCCTCAGGGAGTAAACTGGACTCAGACCTCCTTCTTCCACAGCCACATTGACACTGGTGCCGGCAGTACCGTTAGGGATTTGTAACTATTACCCAGCTTTTAGCATTTTTTTCAAGAAAACAAAAATTATATCTCCCCTCACCAAAAAAATCACCCATCAGCATGGCTCGTTGCTTGAACGATTTGGCAAGCCCGTTTGCCTCAGAACAGAAGGCAAACACTTATAGTGTTATCAGGAAGAAAAGGCCTCTGGGTATTACACCACTTCTTTCTGCCCACTCCTCAGGGGCAAAAAAAAAAAGTTCTACTTACTATATTTTAAAGACTAATTTCTAAAAATTAATAAAAAGGACAATTTCCCTGTCAAGATCATATGAACATAAACAGTAAAGGAAAGTCCATGGGGAGGGTATTTGGCTGCAGAACAGGCTTCTAGGATGCAGCCAGCCTCCTTCTTGCGGGGGTGATGTCTGTTGGAGAATGGGCTGTCTGGTCCCCCGATCTGAGGTCCTCTTGCCCAATTGTCTTTCCTTTGGAGCTGTCCTTAGGTTTATTGTTGGGATCACAATTTGGAATTCAACAGAGAGCTTCTGAGGTGATGGGACAAAGGAGGGGAGAGGAAAGAGGGTTGAAAAATTAGTCTTCTTCATCTTCGCTGATATCATAGGCTGCAGCCTTGTGCCTGGAGAGGCTTGTTGGGGAGGAAGAAGGGGAAGTCTTGCCGGAGAAGGGCCATCGGAAAGAGGGGGAGGGGGAGCGCTCTCGAGTGGGGCTGCTGCTGGGACTCTGCTTTGGGCTGATGGCCTGCAGCATCCGGCCTTTCCCCTCTTTCAGCATGTGTTTCTGGGGAGACCAGAAGGAAGAGTTAGAAGACGCCCATGGATCCTACTAAGCCCCCCCCCCGGCACGTCTGAGACTTCCAATGATCACGAGTGCCCTCTGCAATGCCAAAGTCACTGGAGTAAGCCAGAGAAGGGGCAGGGCTAGATTCCTGAGTAATTCTCTGTCTAAAGTGGTCTATGTTATACAACTTACCTAAAGGTTGTATCTAGTCACCTAATCTTGACTTCTATGTCAAAGGAATTCTTAAAAGCCTATTTGGTTTGTAGTCCAGGCTCCAGGCACAAACAAAGGAATTAACACCAACAAAAGGTATCTTCCTGGAGTATTAGAGTTCTCTGAAAAGGAAATTCCGTATGTTCTCTGAATAATCTATTTGGTATCCACACACTCTCACAGCCAGATCCTGCCTGACATCTAACCTAGGGCTCACTTGCTGAAAGCCCGCACACGCCCTTTCTTTGGCTGAAGAAACCTTGCTATTCCTCAAGGACAGAATCTCCACCTCACCCAGCGATTCTGAGGCAGCTGTTTATTAGGGGAGGCAGCTTCCTCTTTTCTTGTTCTTTGTTCTTTCCTTTCCTTCTGTCTAAAACTACAGTGTAGAAGTGGGCAAGGCCACTTATGTACCTTATCACCAGATTGGGATGTTGATAGACAGCTTGGTGAAATTATTGAGGAGAATATGTAAACTCTTTCTATAAACATTTGAAAGAACTTTTTGAGGATAGTTGAAAAATAATTCTGCCCAGTAAGAGGAACAGATTAGATAACTTCTGAATGTGGATGTCCCTTTCTGCTCAAGGATTCTATAATTCTTTCCACAGCCTGAGAATTCCCAACATATTCCTAAAATTTCTTAAGTTATCCAGCTGGAGAAAACATACCAATGCTCCTTCCGGACCAAACATTTCCAGGAAATTTCCAATGAATTCTCGGGATTTCTCCTCCCATTTCTGAATGAGGTCAATGCTTTTTTCCTCTACCTTCTGAACAAATTCTTTTGACTTTTCTTCCACATCTTTCACTTTCTTCTTTACTTTGTCAACCCGTTCCTGCAAATGGTATTTCTTCTCCTAGGTAAAGAAAGAACTGTTTTAAGAAATCATACCCACTCTGACATTTCTTACCAAAGGGAGGAAAGAAACATGGCTCATCACTCTATTGACATTCTTTTCAGTCTTTAGAATTTCACTTTGTTTAATCTACTCCACACTTCCCTAGCATAACAGGTAAGATATGCTCTGGATGGTCAATCTTATACAAAAAGTGTGGTAATTCTAACATCATGGAAACCCAAACTAAACTAAATATATAAGGTAGGCCCAGTTACATGTATGCAACCAAATGAAGTAACATTTTTAAAGATAAAACTTAAGACTTAGAACATAAACATGCCCAACATAACCCAAATCACATTCTAGATGGAGATGTGAAGGGAACAAGATCACTGCAGAATATTGCCAAGAATAAGCCACTATAATAAATTGAAAGTTGAAGTAGTAGATTTTTACTTAATTCGTTTGTATTGGATTTTTCTCCTCTATCATTGGCTTATTCTATGATTTTAAAAGAGTTGTTTTTAATTTTTGGAAGTCTGCTTGCTCATTCACAAAGTAAAGATGATACTCTTTGGTCCTACCAACTTCCCTAAGGAAGGGCAATGGGAAAGGGGAGCTCTTTACAAAGATGAAACAGAGATATTTTCTGCCTTTATGGTCTAATATCAATACACTGATATAAAGACAGTGTATTTCATTTTAGTAAAATGAAAAATATTCTCACAATTTCCCAATCATAGAGGGGTAAGGAAATATGTTTAAGTTTTTGAACACCTGAAAAAAGAGAAAAGGTTCTGTAGTGGGTGGTTAACTATAGCTAGGGTTTATCTGCATAGGTAAGTCATATTCAGACAAAACCATTTCACCCAGTCATAATTCACAGGATGAGGAACAGGTAAGGAAGCTTGGTAAGCTACTAATGTAGAAGATACAGTTAGCAGCTTTCTTTTTAAACAAACTTTATAGAGGTATAATTTTCATACACAAAATGTATAGCAGTTTGTTGCTAAAGGATAATATTAAGCTAAGGTAAACTTCGCTTCCATAAATCAAATTTTAAAACGTAGATCTATATGTCCTGAGAAATGGCATGCAAAATGTATGTCGCTACCCACACAGGGAGAGGATCCATAGCTTTTACCAGATTTTCAAAAGAACACCAAATAAATAAAAAAGCTAAGAACCACTATTAATGTATTTGATATACATGTTGGACTTTAAAATTGAAAATTCTCATTTATTGAATTGGCTGTGTGTCTTTATATCAGTGTATTGATATTAGACCATAAAGGCAGAAAATATCTCTGTTTCATCTTTGTAAAGAGCTCAGCATAGCGTTAACTGCAAGAATCCGATGGGCTTTTGGAGGAAATTACTATAGCAGACTGAAAAGCAAGTTCAGCTCGGATGAAGTGGGAGGCAATGAGTGTCTTATGAGGCCAGGGAACTCACGTTGATAAAGCTGACATTGAGCTCCTTTGCCGTGTAGCCCCTCTGTAGGTTCCGTCTGGCATACACATCATAGTCCCGGACAATTCGGGTGATGATGTCTGATGTAGAGATGCCTTCTGTCCTCTGTGTTGGAGCGAACATGCCTAACCCCAAAGCACATACAGACACGTGACATTCTGGTTAGCTCAGGCAGCAGGACTAGATAGAAACTGGGAGCAACATTCCTTTCCTTTCCTATTACTAAGGGAAGTCTGGAGATACTGACATACAGAAGGAGGAATGAATCAAAGGAAAGGGGTTAAGAAAAGGAAGGGCTATATGGCCCTAATATTAAGAAAAACCTGGGGCTGGAGAAATTCCTGCATTAAAAGAGCTATCAATACGTAGATGTTTAGTCTGGGAACTGATGGATCTCAGTGCTGGCTCACTTTATCCTCTTACCAAAGTGTGACCTGAAAGTGGATGTTGAATTTCTCAGTGTATAAACTTTTCTCTATAGAATAGTTGTGTGGCTGAATCTCTGTCAATGCCCCTGAAACTATACACATCACAGTGAGAATATGTACATCAACTTACTCACCTGCTTCCTTAATGTGCTTATAAACATCTTCACTTCCTGCGGAAGAATAAGGGATGTCATCATGGGCCACAAAATCAATCTGAAAATAAGTAAACATCATTTAAAACCCAGGGTACCTGCCATGCAGAAAGAACCAATACAAACTCTCAGGCCCAGAAAAAGGACAAAAGGGAGAGGCCAGGTCTCAAACGGACATTTTCTCTTTTTATTTTATTTTATTTTATTTTTAGAGAGAGAGTAAGGGAAAGAGGAGAAGAGAGAAAAACATCAATCAGCTGCATACTCCCTACTGGGGATTGAGCCCGAAACAGGGCATGTGCCCTGACTGGGAACTGAACTGGCAATCTCTTGGTGCATGGGCCAAAGCTCAACCCCTGAGCCACACTGGCCAAGGCTGGACATTTTCTCTTTATCTCTCACGTTTTGCTCACTAATTCCATGATTCATAAGCCACTCAACCTAATTATTTATGGATCATAAATATGAGGTCAGCAGGTTTCTCTTGTCAGCTCTTTCTCCTGGCGTACTAGAAATGCTAACTTCACTCTGTATACCAGTCACATGTTTGGAAAATTGGGCTGGGTGTGCTAGTGTATGACAACGAGGAAAGAAGAAAGGAAATCTCATCCTCTTGGGTCTAAAAGAATTCATCAAATAAGGTTTCTGGAAGTCTGGGAAAGAGGTAATTGTTAACTGGTTTCTCTCTCAGACCAGGAGAGGAGTGGGAATATAAAAATGGCAACCAAGAACACTTTTATTAGAATAGATACATCTATATTCCTGAGAAATGCAAAATCCAAAGCCATAAAAGATCGTTAGGTCTCAGGATCTATCCTTTTACTAGTGTCAATACCTCTTGTAACAGTGAAGAGACCACTGGCACTGGATCAATAATCTTTCCGGGAAATATGCTAAGCCTCACTTATTATACTTATTCCTCCCTAAATATGCCATAGACCCTTTACTAATATAATTGCTAATACCACCACCAACTCTCAGAAGCCACTGTCGTGTGAAATGTGCTCATCAGGACTGTGTCAGGGATTCACAGCTAACATCTCAATTACCCATAAGTACACTGCTAACAAGAAGAAAAAGAAAACGGAAGTTCCTCTAACCTCTTCTGCCTAGGCCTTCTTGGCTGTGTTACTAGGAATAAACTTACCTTTGGCACGACGGAGTGTTGATGTAGAAAAGTTAGAGAACTATATAAGGTGTGTCCTATCCTAAATAGTTAGAACAAATATCCCTTAGCTTCAGGCCTTGCCTTCAAAAGTATTGCTTTGAAGCACTTTGGCTGCCTCTGTTCCTTTCTGTTTCATTGGACAATTCACCTTCAACAGCCCATCCACCCCTGCAGAAAACTGACCGTGTGCTGTGGGTTTCTCACCTTGGCCTGATAAACCCCTCTTATCTTTTGTAGCTACCTTTTATAGGTAACTTGTTGCTTTAATGTGGGATAATTAAAAGGAGGTAAGGGGCTTTATAATACTAACTTGCTGAGCAAAAGCGAGAAACCTCCCTGGTTTCTGACTGCATACAACTTCTAGCCCGAAATCAAAGCCCTGAAACTAAGTTTCAGTCAACACAAGAGTAGTCTGTGCTTATCTGTCTTATTTCCTGGAATGCGAGGGAAGCACACTGGGGCTATGCCTATTCTAAAGAGACTGGTATGCTATGAGGATATATAACTAAAGTGTGGAGGTGGATGGGGATCGATTTCTACAGTGTGACCTGCTACAGTGTGATCTGGACCAGATTATTTAGCCCTCCTGGCCTTGTTCTCATATAAAAATTACCCAACAGGATTATTACGGGGAGCAAATGAAATATAATGTATGTAAAGGTGCTTATAAACCATCAAACCCCATATAAATGTCAGGGATGACTATTATTAGTAGCGATATCATTGTCATCTCCTCACTGTGGAATTTACAGAGAAGGTATTATAGAAGTAAAATAAGGCCAGTGGAAAACTAGTCCAAGTACCATCGGCCTTAAGAGTTGAAGAGATCCCGGAATAGGGAAAGGAGGCGTGTGCCGTTCGTTTCTCACCCGGTGCTCTGCCAGGAACTCTGGAGTCAGGGTCCAGGGGGCGTTCCTCACCACCTCATCCACGTAGCGGCAGTGCTGCACTGCGTCGTAGCGCTCATTTTCGTTCATCACCGTGAAGCCTTTGAAGTTGTGCGTCAGCTCATCACTGCAAACTGAGTTCACCACATCATAGAGTGGTAAGTCAAAGCCCCCTTCGCGTTACCACTGCTCAGTCACCAACCCCTCCCGTTCCCCGGAGCTGTAACCATTTCCCCCACCCGGAGACAAATCCTCTGCAGGGTAGCTCAGTCTGGGTGACAATGCTTTTCCTAATCCAAGATACACCTTCAGGAGCAACGCTAACTAAATAGTATGTTCACATTTGGAGAAGAGAGGCTTCAATGGGGCTAAAATCTTTGGTTTTGAAATAAACCTGCCATGCATTTCTGCATCAGTTAAGTTTTATAAGACTGTATTGGGCATATGGATTTGTTAAGTGAATTTTGTAATTCAGTAGGTTCAAAAGGATAAACTGAAATCCAGAGTGAATGTCATTTTCAAACAGGCAACAGGGGTCTCATGTGACTACAGAAATTCAGCTAAAAACAGTGAGATAAAGAAACACTGGACATCTCAGGTCACTGAGCTTGGAACTTCTCTCTCCATATATGGCATGTTTTAGAGAAGCTGTACTATATCCTTTTTTAAAAAACAAAAACAAAAACCAATATACTCAGGTTATATAGAAGAAAAAGGCTACTATAATTTTTTTCTGGCCTATACCTAAAGTCATCAGGTGTTTTCTTACCTCCCACAATGAGGTATGTATTAGGGAAGAGGTTCTTTGCTTGCATCAGAGCCCGGGCATGACCAGAATGAAATAAGTCAAATATTCCATCTGCATAAACTCTCACAGGCCGCTCATCTAAAATACAAAAGAAAATTTATTACAAAAACACAATGATTCAATATTTCCTATTTGACAAATGGAAATGGCACTGTGTGACTAATCCATCCCAGCATACCTCTCTGTTAAGGTGTGAGGAGTAACATCACACAGGTCATTGGCGACAAAGACCTTTGACGTCATATCCATGAACTCTGTTAGTGTGGTTTTACCAAACTGCTTAGGCAGTTGGATTTCATGATTGTCTTTCTTTATTCTTAGATGTGAAAAGGAAGGGTTATCCAACAGGTAAGTCCAAAACTTCAAAATCCTCACCTTCAGTTCAGGTTTAAACTTCAGTTACACATGACCAAAATAATAGTACAATCTGGCTGTTTGCTCTCTCATTTTCAAGCTGCCTTGAACACTAATGACTAAAGCTTTTCTTTGAAAATAAGCCTCCCTACTATTGCCCAGAGAGTAAGGAGTGATCCATAAAGGTGAGATTAAGAAAGATGGAAGGTAAGTACCAGTTATCAATTTATTGCTCCTCAGTCCCAGACTCACCCTCAGCACCTGCTCAGATGGAATTCCTTCCAGCATTTCCCCTTGACAGTGAGCATGATGTTATACTTTCTCAGTAGAGGGTGATATACCAAGTATTTAAAAAATCAAATATATAAATATTCTTCTCTCCATTAGTGAGAATAATAAAGAACTGACGGTCAACTGTGTGTGTGTGGTAGTGGACTATGAAAGAAAAACCTTAAGACTAATTCCAAATCCAAATAAACACATAGAGAGTAAAATTAACATAATGGTTTATCATGCTTCAAATGATAACCCTAAAAGAATAGCTTTTCCTCTATTCACATCTCTACTATGTGAATAGAGGAAAAGCTATTTCTCTGTAGCAGCAGAATATAACATAAGAATGTCTTTATCACTCTGGGAAAGAAGGGCCAGAGTCTCATCAGATATACTGAAGGCAGGAATCAGATTCCTATTTCTCCTGCCTTGTAACTCAAGACACTGAATCAAGGGGGAGGAAACTGGTTCTCAGAAAGCTTATGGACTTCTTTCCAGATAGGTTTAACCATAAACAAGTAGCTTTTAAAATGAGAAATTACATATTGCTGATTGAAATATAAATTAATACAACTTAAGATGGGCAATTGGGCAATATTAGCATTTGTCAAAAAGTCAAATGACAAATGCTAATACCATTTGGCCCAGCTATTCCAGTTCTAGGAATTTATCTCACAGATATATTTGTAAAAATGTATATCATTCATTTCAGCATTGTTTGTAACAGCAAAAAGTTTAGAAAAAAAAACTAAGTTTCGCCCTAGCTGGTTTGGCTCAATGGATAAAGCTTCGGTCTGTGGACTGAAGGGTCCCAGGTTCAATTCCGGACGGGCACATGCCTGGATTGTGGACTCAAACCCAAGTAGGGGGTGTGCAGGAGGCAGCCAATCAGTGATTCTCTCTCATCATGGATGTTTCTCTCCCTCCCTTCCTCTCTGACATCAATACAAATATATTTAAAAACAAAACGAAAAAAAACCTATCATTCAAAAAAAAGAATACAGCCTAAGTTTCAATGAAAGACTGAATATACCATACCACATTAAAGGGTGGGAGGATTATAGATTATTTGTTTATTTATCCACAAAGATTGGTAAAACTGGTTGCCCATAAAAGGGATACTGGATGGCTGTGAGACAGTGATGAAAAGAAGGCATTCCACTCTATATTAACTTTTTCTGCTTTATGAGTGTTAAGCATAACAATGCATAGATTTTATAATATAGGAAACAAAAATTATATATAAACAAATACACCAATACAATGAAAAACTGAGAAATAATATGATGAACTAAAAAGTCAGAAAGGTTATAGTTCAAGCTTGCCAACCAGCCCTTTCCTCTGTACTCTTAACCCCTTTAAGCCTGTTTCCTCATCTAAAAAAAAAAAAAAAGGCAAAACAAAACAAAATCTGAGTACTATAATTTCACATCCACATCCTAGAAATCATGACCATGAAGTAACTAACATACTTTCATTTTTCCTAAACAAGTCCAGAGAGGCTATGATCTCACTTTATTTGATCCTTAAAGACAGAGGATAGAATATGAAAATTAAGAATATTTTGTTTTTCTGCCATTAGCATACATCAAGGGCAAAGTGAGATTTCCTGACAGTGGAAATACATAGAATGCTGTTGTGCAATGGCTATTTGCCAGTAGCTAATCATGCATATTAGGCCACGTCACCACTGAGTCCTTTTGTCAGACCAAAGCCAGCTGTGCTTCTTGCCCTCTTTAGTGTTTCCCCAACCTCCCAACTTCTTAATTCCCTATGACTTAACCCCAAGTCTTTGGTAAAACCTGACTGGTATATTAACCAAATAGCCAGAAGGGGCCACTACTGAACTAGAAAATCTGAGGATCCATTCTTTCACCAAGTGGCTATTGGCCAGGATAACCAGACCCTCCCTCTGATCTACATCTGTTGTCTCAGCATATTATTAAGCGTGAACCCTTTAATTCTCAAAATGGTCCTGATTTGGATGACAAATTACAATCCTTGCACTACTACTAGTTCTCCTTCAGGCCGAATAAACCTGGACTTCAATTTATTGATTCTTTTGATATATTCTCTCAAATACCTATCACCAAATCTATTTTGTCCCCAACAGATTTCCATTGTCCTTCAGACTCTGCTTTTTCTTCATTTCTCCCAGAAAATATATCACTGTTTTTTTCTTTTCTTTATTTCTCAAGTCATATTTGTTTTTTCTCTGGGTAGTGAGTTTTCTCCTAAATTCCACAAACTTCCCTCTTGGACTCTCTTACCTCCCAAGTGAAAATCTGGGGGCATACAGAGGATGCCTCCTTGTGCTAATTATTTGTTTAAAATTCATTAACTATGGCATGTTGTATGCAGATTCATTACTGGCTCATCCGTTGGCCAGCACTGGCATGAATTCAGTCAGCTACTCGGCTACTTAAACATAAAACAGAACAGACGGAAGGAGATATAGGAGAAACACCAGAGACAGCATTAGGCTAGCAAACTTTATAGGCTACTTTGTGACTATCTGTACCACCTAAAATACAATCAGTTGGCCAATGGTCTTCTATTGTTAATAACTAATATCTAGGAAGAGTCACACCACTTTAGGGTGAAAAGAACACAAAGATGGAAAAACTTGGGTTTTAGCTTAAATTTTATCATAAATTATTTGTTTGACTGTAGAGGAGCTTTTAATTCTAAGTTTCTATGGACCTTAATTTCTTGTTGTAGATAGTATAAAGAAAGAGACTATACAGTATATTACCTCAAAAAATGAACTACTTATAAAATTATATTATTCTAAATTTTAAAAAATTAGACTTATTAGTTAGTACCTATTAATTATAGGCTTCCAAACGTGTGAAAAGCACATCTACACACATGTGATGTATCTCAGGTGGGTAACATAACTAACGTGGCCAGGTCTGAATGAGGTGCTGCATTCTGAAAGTGAGTCATTACAGGCATGAAAAGTCCTTGCCCTCAATAGACTCTACTATCACATCTGAATGTGACCTTTGTTCTGTTTGGTGGCGTTTTGAAATCTGACCTGCCAGCATTACACCTTGTTACCTATAGCCTGTTTTTCCATGTTGTCATTTTACCTGCTCGATTAGTCTTTATTCCTCAAACAAGGGGAACCAATCCCAAAACATCACATCATGAATCAGAAGGGCTGTGATCAACATGTATAAACACTTTTGCAAATGAAAAGCATTCTTTGAAATTTTGAGGACCCAAACTATACTCCATAGAGCCAAGATTTAGTCAGAGAGTACTGGGATCCCTCGCCTGACACTGTGCAGCATTCATTTCTATTCGCATTTCACTATTCCTCAGTTACAACAAGGAGCAAATATACTAACACAATTAAGAAGTAGCCACACAGCCAGGCATGAGGCGGAGGCGGCCAAGCCCAGGGTGGCCAGTCCAGGAACACCCAGACCCGGAGTGGCCGGGCCCAGAGCAGCCGGGGTGGGAGCAGCCAGACCCAGAACAGCAGTAGCCAAGCCCAGAGCATCCAGGTTGGGAGTGGCCAGGCTCGGAGCGGCCGGGCCCGGGGCAGCCGGGCCCAGAGCAGCCGGGTCAGGTGCGGCCAGGCCCGGAGCAGCAGCTGCCAGGCTGGGAGCGGCCAGGCCCGGGGGAGCAGTCGGGTCGGGTGCGGCCAGGCCCGGAGCAGCGGCTGCCAGGCTGGGAGCGGCCAGGCCCGGGGGAGCAGGCGGGGCTGGTGCGGCCAGGCCCGGAGCAGCGGCTGCCAGGCTGGGAGCGGCCAGGCCCGGGGGAGCAGCCGGGTCGGGTGCGGCCAGGCCCGGAGCAGCGGCTGCCAGGCTGGGAGCGGCCAGGCCCGGGGGAGCAGGCGGGTCGGGTGCGGCCAGGCCCGGAGCAGCGGCTGCCAGGCTGGGAGCGGCCAGGCCCGGGGGAGCAGGCGGGTCGGGTGCGGCCAGGCCGGAGCAGCGGCGGCCAGGCTGGGAGCGGCCAGGCCCGGAGCAGCAGCAGCCAAGTCCAGAGCAACTAGGTCGGGAGCGGCAGTGACCAGACCCGGAGCAGCTGGTTGTGGAATGAACCAGAGCAACAGAGGCCAGGACCTGAGCAGCCAGGCCCAGAACAGCTCGCTCCTTGCCTGCCGCTGCCCCACGGCTGCTTCTCAGACATGGCTGGAAACTTTCGTGGGAACTTGAGGGTCTGCTGAATCAAGTGATGAAGGCTTAGATCTGGATGTGTTGAGTTAGTTTAGGACTGGGGTGTTGATCTGTGAGTGCCTTGGGTGGGGCCTGGATGAGGCTGGTTGACCTAGTGGGAAATGTCTTTTGTGTGAAGTGTATCATTGGGCATGTGGAGGTATTATTGATATGAGAAAATGCTAAGTAACTGATTTACTATCTGAAAAGGGATTTACTATTGGGGAAATTGAGGGAAGAAGAGACTGAACATAAACTGCACCTATGGATGAGGACAATGGGGGATGGGGGGGGGGACGGAGGGTGGGGTGGGAACCTGGTGGAGGGGGGAAGAAATGAGGAACCTTTGTAATAATATGAACAATAAAGATTGATTTAAAAAAAAAAAAAAAAAAAAAAAAAAAAAAAAAAAAAGAAGTAGCCACAGGTTGAGCATAGACCTGTGAACCAGGAGGTCACGGTTTGATTCCTGGCCAGGACACATTCCCAGATTTGGGCTTGATCCCCAGTGTGGAGCATGCAGGAGGTAGCTGATCAATGATTCTCTAGCATCACTGATGTAACTAACTCTCTTTCCCTCTTCCTTCTTCTCTGAAATTATATATATTTGTAACCACAAATATTCTATATAATAAAAACCTAATAACACAAATTGTTCAACTATAAGTTCGACCACTCACTATGACGTGCACTGACCACCAGGGGGCAGCATGGAACATGGTGGGCATCCAAGACAGTGCTGACAGTGGGCAGCAGAGGAGGTTCTGCCAGTCCTGATGGGCCCTGATGAGAGTGGGACCACAACAGGATGGTGGAGCAAGTGAGCAGGCAGCACTAGGCCAAGGAGGGTGCAAACGGGGGTCCAATCGCCTCACAGATTGCTACCAGTGATGGTGGCTGGAGGGTGGGGGGGAGCGGAGGGCAAGGCTGTTTCCCGGCTCCCAGGCGCGGAGGGAGCTGGTGGGGGGCAACCATAATCAATCAACCCATAGACGGTCACCCTTGCCGGCAGGCCCTGATCGGTTCAGGGCCAGGCCCCAGGCTGGAATGGAGACCTGGAGGGTGAGGGGTGGCAGTGACCAACCTCCCGTGGAACTCAGGCAGGTGGCAGCGACCTCTCACTTCACCGGCTACCTGGGGGCGTGGGTGACAAGGACAGAGAGGTGTGGTGAGAATGCAGGGTGTCCACTGAGCTCGCTCTCACTCCCCCTGCTACCCTCCCCTGGGACACCAGAGCTCATGCGCCAAGAAGCCCCTGTACTCAGGTGCTGGGCACCGCGAGGAGCACGCTCTGCACCCACACGGCTTCTTCCGCTGAGCCGGGCCACAGCCACTGGGACCACAGGGGCCGGTTGGGCTCCCCATGGGTTCGCCCAGGAGCCAGTCTGCAAGGGGAGAGAGCAAGGTGCCAGCCTGCTTCCTTGTGGCACCACTGGATGGCCCAGAGGCCCATGCTGCATCCCAGCCCATGGTATCCGGCCATGCTCACCGCACCTCCTCATGGGGGACTAGGGCCTTGTGACTCAAGGCGGGGAGTGGGGAGCGGGGACACGACGACGACGACGACGGAATGTGGGGGCCCAGAGGGCCTCGGTGCTGCCCAGGACCCAGAATTCAGCTGGGACCTGCCCTTCCACGCCAGATGCTCAAGTTTCAATCACCAGCCAGGTCTAGGGACTGCATCTGTGCACAAATTTCATGCACTGAACCTCTAGTCTTCCATAAAGATTTATGGCTATAACTGCTTCTTACTCCCTAGTGCTTGACTGAGTTTGAGTCAAGATCTATGCTTATAGAATAGACAAAATACTTACTATAGTGATTGAAAAAAATAATGAAGGATTGAATAAAAGGAGAATTGAAGAATTCATAAAGGACAGCCAAAACTGGGTTTGGCTCAGTGGATAGAGGGTCAGTTTGCAGACTGAAAGGTCTCAGGTTCAATTCCAGTCAAGGGCATGTACATTGGTTGCGGGAACATCCCCAGTGGGGCGTGTGCAGGAGGCAGCTGGTCGATGTTTCTCTCTCATTGATGTTTCTAGCTTTCTATCCCTCTTACTTCCTCTCTGTAAAAAAATCAAAATATATTTAAAAAAAAAAAAGAAGAAGAAATAAGGACAGCTGCCTACAAGACTATATTCACAACATATGCTCATGGAAGTTTCTATTTATGATGATCCCTAAAACTAATTGAGTATTTAGAATACACATATTATGTAAACTGAGCATACAAATAAAGAGTATGGGGTTTGAAAATAATAAAGTGAGTCTTTAAAACACTGGAAAATTACAATATCAAGGAAGGTAAGCCCTAGCTGGTTTGGTTCAGTGGATAGAGCATCAGCCTGCGGACTAAAGGGTTCCAAGTTCGATTCCGGTCAAGGGCACATGCCCCCAATGGGGAATGTGCAGGAGGCAGCCAATCAATGATTCACTTTCATCATTGATGTTTCTATCTCTTTTTTCCTCTCTCTTCCTTTCTGAAATCATTAAAGATATATATTTTTTTTAAAAAAAGAAAGATAAAATTAAGTGATGAGTATCTTTTAACTTGAGATATTTTTGTCTTCTATCATCAACAGCATAATAGCTAGGGTACTTACTGATAGAAAAAAAGATTTGGGGAACAAATTGAAGGTTATTAAAAATGTGGTAGCCTGACATATTATTTGGACCTTTGTAAAAATCGATAAGGCTATAAAGTCCAGCTCTGCTATATCTCATAATTATGGTACTAGACCAAGAAGCAAATATGTACTACTGTATCTCAAGCTGTGATAACATCCTGGGAAACAAGTGCCTAATACATAATTTTTTAAAAATGAAATTTTATGGAGTACAGGTATCCTCCCAAAAGAATAACAAGGGAGCTAGAAGGAACTCATCTCCCTTGTCCCAACTAGTCTTTATAGGTAAAATGAGGGAAGAATATAGAAAGTGGGTGTATATTTGATAAATACAATTAAATGCTAAAAATAACAACTAAGTAATAGGGCATTTACTTACAAGGAGTTCCTCTGCTGGCTTCTTCCATAGTTACCCTGACATAGGGCTTATTAAAGTCTACTTCAATTTCATCAGAAAAAGGAGCTGGCTGCCGTAAGCCCTTAAGAGGAGGAAAGTGAAAGAGGGGAAAAATAGTTAAATTCAATGGTACAAACTGAAATACTCAAAAAATGGCAGCTTTAAAGAACAATCAGTTTCTTAATATACTGTGACTAAAATTCCTCCTAAAAGTTCAATAACACAAAAAATAAAAAAATAAAAAGGCATTCCAAAATGACAAGTGAAAGTTGCAACCTTTCTTTTTAAAATTTCTTTATTGATTAAGGCCGTGGTCGGCGAACTACATGCGGTTCTTTGGCTCCTTGATGTGGTTCTTCCACAAAATACCTCGGCCTGGACGAGTCTATTTTGAAGAAGTTGCGTTAGAAGAAGTTTAAGTTTAAAAAATTTGGCTCTCAAAAATTAATTTCAATCATTGTACTGTTGATATTTGGTTCTGTTGACTAATGAGTTTGCCAACCACTGGATTAAGGTATTATATATGTGTCCTTATCCCTCATTTACCCCCAATCCCCTACTCATGCCCCTGTTGTCTGTGTCCATTGGTTAGGCTTATTATATGCATGCATACAAGTCCTTTGGCTGATCTCCCCCTTGCCCCTACCCTCCCTTATTTTCCCTCTGAGGTTTGACGGTCTGATCTATGCTTCTCTATCTCTGGATCTGTTTTTGTTCATCAGTTTAAGTTGTTCATTATATTTCATAAATGAGTGAGATCATGTGATATTTATCTTTCTCTGACTGGCTTATTTCACTTAGAACAATACTCATCTAATGAACAAATCACAGTGTCAAAGATAAATAAATGTTTGCTAATGATTTCAGGGTAAAGGCTGAACAAGATGGCTGGCAACAGTTCCAACTAACCAGGCCCAGAATGACGGCTGCTCTGCTGCCTGGCAGCACAGCCAACCCTGATCTATGTGACAAAATTGCCAAGGTTCATAAGTGCATTTTCAAATCACTTCAACTAGTAGATTGGGAAGGCAAACAGCTCCTGTGTACTTTATTAAGCACAATTATCATTGTATAATGCTTTGCACTGCAAATATATTCTAATACTCATAACAGCCCTGTGAATCAAGTAGTATAATAGCTGGTATCCTCAAGAAAATGAGGTTCAGAGAAGTTAGATGAATTGTAGGCAATTACAGTAAAACCTCAATATAATGGACTAGTTCAGGTGAGAAGGTGGTCAAAATTCTCTTATGTAAGTAGTTTTTCTGAATGCACATATTAAAAAATCAACAAATTAGTTAATTTACCTGTTTTTATTTATGTAGACACATTTGTGTAACTAAACTTAAATATGTATGAAAAGTTTACTTTCACAGGAAAGTGTTCTATATGTATTAAAATCATTTTAAATTTATATTGAATAGTTTTAGCAAATTCACCAGTCACCAAAGGTAAACAAATGCACACGGCTGAGCGTGGCTTAGTGCACATCGGAACATCAACCCACTGGTGTTAAAACTGCTTGAGAAAGAGCATAGGTTGGATCAGAGACAGAGTCTTCAATAAATGGTGTTGGGAAAATTGGATAGGTACATGCAAAAAAATGAAACTAGCCCACCAACTTACACTACATACAAAAATAAACTCAAAATGGATAAAAGACTTAATGTAAGAAGTGAAACCATAAAAGTCCTAGAAGAAACCATTGGCACCCAAACCTCAGACATCTCTTGTAGCAATATATTTACTGATACAACTCCTAGAACAATGGAAACTAAGGAGAAAATAAACAAATGGAGAAAATAAACAAATGGAACTATATAAATAAAAAGCTTCTGCACTGCAAAAGAAACCATCAACAAAATAACAAGAGAGCCCACTACATGGGAAGACATATTTGCCAATTACGGTATACATCTGATAAAGGATTATTCTCCAAAATTTATAGGGAGACACAGTGATCCCATTTTTAGAAATATATCCTAAGAAACCTGAAACACTCATCAGAAAGAATATATGCATCCCTATGTTCATAGCAGCACAAATTACAATAGCTAAAATTTGAAACAGCTTAAGTGCCCATCAGCAGATGAGTGGATAAAAAACCTTTGGTACATTTATACAATGGAATACTATGCGGCAATAAAAAAGAAAGAACTCTTACCATTTGCAACAGCATGGATGAATCTGAGCAAAATAAACCAGTGAGAGAAAGGTAAGAATTACACGATCTCACTCATCTGTGAATCTAATGGACCAAATAAACTGATGAGCAAAAACAGACCCAGAGCCCAGTCGGCATGGCTCAGTGGTTGAGCTTTAACCTATGAAGTGTCTCAGGGGTTGAGCATTGACCTATGAACCAGGAGCTCAGGGTTCGATTCCTGGTCAGGGCACATGCTCAGGTTGCGGGCTCAATCCAAGGTGTGGAGTGTGCATCAGGCAGTTGATCGATGATTCTCTCTATCCATCCCTCCCTCTTCCTTCCTCTCTGAAGTAAATAAAAATATATTTAAAAATAAAACAGACGCAGAGACATAGAAACATGAACAGACTATTGAAACTCAGAGAAAAGGCAGGAAAGGGGTGTGTGGGAAGAAATCAACCAATGAACTAGTATGCACATGTGCATAACCCGAGAACACAGACAATGGGATGGTTAGGGCTTGGGGATAGGGGGAGATAGGATCAGGCTGGAAGAGGTTAATGGGGAGGAAAAGAGGACCTTTTGTAATACTTTCAAAAATAAAGATTTTAATTTTTTTCCAGATATTAAAACTTGATTTTATTTTTATTTATTTTTTAAATAAATCTTTATTATTCAGATTATTACAATTGTTCCTCTTTTTTCCCCCCATAGCTCCCCTCCACCCGGTTCTCACCCCACCCTCTGCCCTTACTGCTCCCACACACAGTCCTCATCCATAGGTGTATGATTTTTGTCCAGTCTCTTCCCGCACCCCCAACACTCTATTCCCCCCGCCCCCGAGGACTGTCAGTCTACTCCCTTTCTATGCCCCTGGTTCTATTATATTCACCAGTTTATTCTGTTTATCACATTTTTTTATTCACTTGATTTTTAGATTCACTTGTTGATAGATATGATTTTGTTGTTCATAATTTTTATCTTTACCTTTTTCTTCCTTTTTTTTAAGAATACGTCTAGCATTTCATATAATACTGGTTTGGCAGTGATGAACTCCTTTAGCTTTTTCTTATCTGTGAAGCACTTTATCTGATCTTCAATTCTGAATGATAGCTTTGCTGGGTAGAGTAATCTTGGTTGTAGGTTCTTGCTATTCATCACTTTGAATATTTCTTGCCACTTCCGTCTGGCCTGCATAGTTTCTGTTGAGAAATCAGCTGATAATCATATGGGTGCTCCGTTGTAGGTAACTGTTTTTCTCTTGCTGCTTTTAAAATTCTTTGTCTTTTGCCATTGGCATTTTAATTATGATGTGTCTTGGTGTGGTACTCTTTGGATTCCTTTTGTTTGGGGTTCTCTGTGCTTCCTGGACTTGTAAGTCTATTTCTTCCACCAGGTGTAGGAAGTTTTCAGTCATTATTCTTCAAATTGGTTTTCAGTATCTTGCTCTCTCTCTTCTTCTGGCACCCCCATAATTCTGATGTTGGTACACTTGAAGTTGTCCCAGAGGCTCCTTACACTATCTTCATATTTTTGGATTCTTTTTGCTTTTTGCTTTTCTGGTTGGGTGTTTTTTGCTTCTTTGTATTTCAAATATTTGACTTGATTCTTGCAATCCTCTAGTCTGCTGTTGGATCTCTGTATATTATTTTTTATTTCAGTCAGTGTATGCTTAATTTCTAGTTGGTCCTTTTTCATATCCTCGAGGGTCTCACTAAATTTATCAGCCTTTTCTAGGAAATTCTTGAAAAACCTTATATCTGTGGTTTTGAACTCTATATCCAGTCTTTTGTTCTCCTCCATCCCTCTCGTTTGAGATCTATTTCCTTGTCTCGGCATTTTTGCTGCTTCCCAGAGTTGGTAGGATGGCTTTGTGTGTTTGATGTCCTATATGGCCCGGTGGGTCAGCCTCCCCAGTTGCTTGAGGTAGACACTCTTAGTGCTTCCCTTTGTGGATTGTGTGTACAGCCTTGTTGTAGTTAAGTCTAGATTGTTGTTGGTATCCCTGGGAGGAATTGACCTCCAGGCCAATTGGATGTAAGTATCAGCTGTGTCTATTCCAGGATACCTTCTGTATTGGAGACAGTCTTATAGGATCAGACTTGCAAAATTGCAAAAGCCTCTGTGCTCAGCTTGGATGGGGCGGAGTCTCAGGGCTGAGCAGACAGTCTTGGCTTCCAGTCAGCCCTGCCCTTGTGTGCACGTCTCAGACCTCTACCTTCCGCGGCTCCCCTGAGTTTCCACCTAACAGTCCAGATTCCCCTTGTAAGAACATGGGTGCCCCAGGGGCTTGCCCGTAATTGGGTTGGGTCTCTGTAGTCCAGAGCTTCTGACTCCTTCCGCTATGGAGAGGTTGCGACCTCTCTCCTCGCACTCACTCGCGCGCAACTGTAGACCCTGCCCACTGCGGCTCCTGGCTCCCCAGCGTCTCCCAATCTCTGAATCTCCATGTGCCTTTCTCTACAGTCCAGACTCCACCCAGATGAGCCTGGGTCCATGGGGTTTCGGCCAGGTCTGGTGTTCAGTGAAGTCATAACTGGGGTTCAGTGCAGCCGGGGGCATCCTTTCTCCTCCTGCCAGCCAGGCACTCAACCACCCTTCCTCTCTGCACGACTGCATACGAGTGTCTCCCTACCTCAGAGCTTTGCAGCTCCCCTGATCTGTAAGCCTTTTTCCTTCTTTCTAGTTGTAGATTTTTCCACTCAGCAGCTTTCCTGTGGTTTTGGATGATTCTTTCCTGTCTTTTAGTTGTTGTTTTGAAATTGTTGGGCGAGGTGGCAGATTAGGTGCTTATCTAGGCCACCATCTTGGTTTCTCCAAGGGTACACAGCACTTCTTCTTAATCCATTCACCTATTTATGGATAAAAATTGCTTTCAAGCCTAGCCAGCATGGCTCAATGGTTGAGCAGCAACCTATAAACCAAAAGGTCATGGT